CCTAATCTCCAACCCTGACAACAACACTCAGACAGCCAAACAATTTTGGTTTCCTCCACCCTCTGATGTTCAATACACCGAGCAATGTACACATGAGAAGTGAGTGGTGCAGGGAAAATCTGAGGTTTCTCAGGGTCGATGGAGACCTCTTTCCCACCAGCCACTCACACCCAGGCACCCTGAAGTAGTCTGGAGGCACAGTCATCACTTCTCTGGTTGCCCCCTTCTGAAACCACCGGTAATTGTACGCTCCTTGGCCGGCACCAAGAAGAGGTAACCCTGGCGGTGCGCGGTGATGCCTCCATGACAACCTCCTCAACACCGAGACCCACATAAGTTGACCCCCAGGAGTCCCGCAGAAGCAAGAAAGAAGGGGGCCTATGCGCCCAGCCAGTGCTCCCTCCCCTGCCTGACCTCTGCAGTAGAAGGGAGCCCATAGCCTCCAGGTGCAGGGCGCGGGGGGAAAGGGAACGGCGAATAAAGTTAAGAGGACAGCATGGGGACTGCGTGCTTCCGAGGGACTAGAGGGGAGATCGCAAAAGGAGAAAGCGGAAATCGGGTCTGCTGCATGGCAGAGGCATGCAGGGAGAGCCCCCGAGCGCTTATTAACCAGCTCCTGCCTAGGACCCCGCCTGTCCGGGTTCCAGACAGATTCGATCCGACAAGGGTCGGCCAGGGGGCGGGGAGAAGGAAGAAATACCCGGACTGCGAACTTACGAAAGAAGATGTACTCGGTGTAGCTGCTCCAGATCTTGTCGTCGCGGTACTGGTTGACGAAGGCGGCGGTGCCCGAGGAGTTACACGCCACCATGTGAAAGCCGGCCTCGGACAGGCGATCGAACGCCTGCTCCAAGTACGTGAACTTGAGGTAGAAGCGGGACGTGTACTTCTCGGGCGGCCGGTCAGGGTCGCGGCTCTCGTTGAGCGTGTCACCAAAGACCTCCTTGGCCAGCGCTATGCGTCCGCACACCATGATGCGCGCCACTCGCCGGAACTTGGCGTCCGCCTGGTTGTCGCGCACCGTGGTGTAGGAGCCGCGATAGCCCAGGGTGAGGAAGCCGGAGCGCTTGTCAGGCGCGCCGCCGCCGCCGCTGCCACCGTGCGCTCCGAGGCCCGAGGGCGCGGTGGCCGCCGCCCCACGCATCAAGAGCGCATCACTGCTGCCCTGCGAGACGTTGTCCTCCAGGTCGCTCTGGCAGCCCTCGTCGTTGAGCGAGTTCTGCTTGGTGACCTTGGGCGACAGCAGCTTGACCAGGTCGGCGAGCTGGAAGTACTCGGCCTCGCGCAGGAGCCGCTCCTTCTCGGGGAAGTGTTCTGGCAGCGCCAGCTGCTTGTCCCGCAGGTAATCCAGCACGTACCTGAAAAGGAAGCCGTCCCGGTCAATGAAGAAGCGCGCCCGGCTGTCCCTGGGCAGCTCTCCCCGGCGGCGCGCGCCTCCCCGGGGGCTGGATGGCGAGAACATGCTGGCCAGAGTGCTGTCCGGGACGCTGAGCAGCGTCGAGTGCTTGGTCACATAGACCTGGCCTCCCACGTTCAGCTCCACCACCTCGGGGAAAGGCGAGGGCGCGCAGGGCCCTGGGGCGGCGACTGCAGACGAGCTGGACGAGGAAACCATCTCGCTAATGGGCAGGATGGTGCTGCCGACGCTGCCCGTGTCCTTCAAAGCCATGGTCCCACCCCGCCGATGGTTAAGTGAACCGGGAGAGTGGCACTTTCTCCCCACAAAAGCCCACGCCCTGCACCCCCGGCGCCCCCGGCCTTGGCGTGCTCCTGGTGCGCCCTCGGGCTGGGCGGCACGTTCCTCCGGCCGGGGTTGCCCAGTTCAGGGCTCCGGGCAGCTGCGGAGGCGCCCCGGCTCCATCAGGGGAGCGAAGCGCGCGCGGGAGAGGAGCTCAGCGGGAGCAGCGGCGGCGGTGATGGAGCTAGGAGGAGTGGCTGCTCCTTTGGGGCGACGGCAGGGAAGTGTGAGCGAAAGACTTGCAAGAGGCTCTTAGGCGGCCGCTCCGCTTCCCATGGGGAGGGCGGGAGGAGGGGTCGGAGCAAAGAAAACTCGCCGCCCCAACAGCTTGCAAGCGCTCTGCGAGTCCCGAGCGCGGACGGTGGCGCTAACTACTCCTAGCAGCCGGGGAGGCGGCACTGACGTCAAGACTAGAACTGGGACCCGAGCCACAGCTGTCATTTAAAGAGATAAGCACCAGCTGCAGGCTGCCCGGCTCGACGCTAGGGGGCGAGGCCGGTGGCCAAGCCAAGATGAGATGCCACCTTGGCTGTGAGCCTGGCAGGGAACCTCTGAAAAAAAAAAAAAAGTGGAAAAAAGGATGGCATCTCTCCTTCATTTCATTCCCTCCTTCCGTCCTTCTGTCCGCCCCTTCCTTTCTCCCTCCTTCTCTCCCTTCCTTCCTATCTCCCTTGCCCCTGTTAGCCCAGTAAAATTAGTTTTGTTTTTCTTTAACTCTTGCATTAAAATGGAAAGTTGAGTGTGTGTGGGGGGGGGGGGGGGAGAGGGGTAACAAAAATGACAATTTCCGAATTTGAAATTACTCTGCTGGCATGCGAGCAGTGATTGCAAAAAGACTAAGGTGGGGGGAGGGGGGGTCTCTTATAATGGTTTTACCATAGTTTTTGAAGTGAAGAGTGAAATGCCAGAATGCCTATTACAATCAAATGTGATGATTACATATTTAACTGCATGTGCTACATATAATTGAAGAATTTTTTAAACTAAATCTGATTTCAGTTCACAAAACTAATAAAGGGTTGTGTGCAACCTGACTATTTTCTTCTTTCATCTTTTCAGTATTTGATTCATAGTATAATACATGCTTAACAAATGTTTATAGAGGAAGGGGCGGAGCCAGAGAGAAAACTCTGTTCCTAGTTTCCAATCCAATTAATGATCATCCCTTCATTAATCTCTCCATTTCCCTTTCAACTCCATAAGGCAAGAGAAATGGCTTGTGTTTTATTAGTCTTCTAACCCCAAAGATCAG